CGTGTATAATTAATAATTATACATACTCATACTATACACTATACATATTATATACATAGTGAATATATATATATATATATATATAATATATATATATACTCACTATACATATTAATAACACTACTCATATTTTCAACAGTCAGCAGTCCAGTATATAAAGCATTAATGGAAAACTGTTGCCGAATTCACATTCATAAAAGAATGAAACTTTTCAAAATGATGCGATTTCTTCAGAAAAAAAAAAAAAAAAAAAAAAAAAAAAAGGGTAAAATAAAAAAATCTGTTTCGAATTTTGAAAAAATCTCTTCGAGGTGCACTGGCTCGTGTCTAGATGCACCCATGTACCAATTTTCGTAGCCCTGGGTCAATTAGCTTACGCGCAGCACGAACGAAAGACAGACACACACAGACATACTCTTTCTTTTATTATATGTAAAGACTACCATGGATTTCTAACTTGAATTAAGTCATGCTCAACTTTATATTTGTCAACTCTACATGTTATGGTGAACGAGTCTTTTTATCCCAATTTTATACAGTAAAAATTAAAAGGAAAAGTCATGTTTTGCTTGTCATTTACATGTCAGAAGCATAAGTACTTTATCGATTAATATTAGTATTACCGGAATGCGCTATCGGGATATTTTCAGAGTTATTGAATGTGATTGATAATGAACATAATTCTGCATTTATTCAATGCACATTAATTTTATGTAAATCATACGAAAAAGCATGTGTTTTAGAATATCATTTACGCATTTCCCTTACCAAAGCTCAGAGAATTTTTTTTTTTGTGTGTGTGTGTGTATGAAGAGCAAAATGGCTTAATGTTCAATAGATGGTCTCTGAATTTATTAATATGATATCATGGGACTTTTCCTTGGGAATATGTTAAGAAAGGTCTGTGCTCAAATTATCTGCATGGGACCAGCAACTGCATTGGTAAAGCTATGGCGAAAGAAATGAAGGGTGTACTCAAGCAAATATAGTATATATATATATATTTATAGTGTTTTGGTACGAAGGTGGTATAATCGAAGAGATTTTCAGAGAACACTTTTGGAAAACCGTGTATAGTTTCCCTGTTACTTTATGCAGTACATATCAGTCGGTTTCCTTGACTTTTACGAATAAAGCCATGGAATAAAGTAAAGAGCGAATCATTTTGAATAATCATGTACAGACTCTCAAATAATCAAAAGTAATTAAAACCATTAACTTGTTTTTATTAAATCAGTAGAATTTTACTTTAAAAGTTTTATAAGACGAAACAATACGAATTGTAATATCTTGGACCGCGAGCAATTGTTAAGTAAAACTAGCACAAGATTTTATCCAGAGTTCATATTTATGTTATACATACGAGAAAAAAGAATAATTGTTAACTTGCAAAATTTATACTTTTAACTTAACATATTTATCTTTCTTACAACATTTATTTTGAACAGACAGAAAGGTATCGATTCCTTAAGTTTTCTTTCTCTGTTATTCGAAAGAAAAATGTTTTTTTTTAAATATGCCATGCCTTTTAATATAATAAAATTTTAAATGTGCCCTGAAGTTCGTTTGAAGTTTTACTAATTATTTAAAAGGTAAAAAGTGAATTTTTTTAGTTAAATTGACAATCTTCATAATAGGCATACTTATTTCAATGAAGAGAAAATCCAGAGTTCAAAAGGAGGAGGAAAAATATCTTAATAAAAAGATCACGATGAGAGAAAAGGAAACAAAATATTGCTTCAGAGTCAAATGTTTTTTTATGAGCCCATTTTCTATTAAATATCACTATATTTAAGTGACATAAAAGCTTCTTTGCTGCGTAATGAGATTTTTAATAGAAGGATTATCAATAAAAATGTTTCATAACAAATTTATCCTCATAAAAAGTATTTAGTAAAAAGCTACAGAACTGAATGTGTGTGGAAAATGTCCTGTATTGTGTTATTGATTCGTTGTTATACTGTAATTTCGTTTACTCATGGAATTCATTAGTTCCTCAACTGAAGAAATTTCTGCATGATTTGGTCAGGTATTCTTAGATTTTTATTTTTTGTTTCTCCTAAGGCTGGCAGCATTTATATTCAAATAACAAAGACAGGAAAAAATTCATATTTTTAATATTTTTATACATGGATTTAGCTTTTAAAAGCCTATTTAGGTATTCGTCAAGGCGAGACCATATTTTTTTTCCTTTTTTACTTCTTTGTACGAAGTAAAGGAAGTATTGTAATCAAGAAAAATTTCGGGTATTATATTTCAACGAAAATATCCATTTTGACCGCTCTCGAATCCATCTAAACGATGTTTCTGCGTGACACCTGTACTCATAAACAAATAAAGAACTCTTTTTCCCAAAACATATCGTAAAATAGATTTAAAAGGACATCAGAAGAGATTGTTTTTGGTGACGTCTGTACGTACGCACGTATGTATATCTTTCGCATAACTCAAAAACGAGTAGCTTCAAAACATTGAAACGTATATCCAGTGTATATGAGACTGTTATTCCATGGATTTGTACACCCCTCATTTTGGCAGCAATCGGTTGCATCAAAAGTGTATATACATATACACCCACCCTGTTACGCGGCTCGTTGAACTCAGAATTTTTATTCTTATATCTTGGCAAATTATGCATTTTTTGTTTTAAAATTGATTGAATTATGTTGTACTTATGTTCCGGTTAAGGATTTTATGCCTTTAGTTTAATTTGCATGGTATAATTTTAGAATTATCAACAAGTTGTTTAACTGCTGCTAAGCCTAACGAAACCGTCATATGTTTGCATTTGAATCTCTTAGTAGAATAGTGAACTGAGTCAATTTATGCACCAACTTCAATCAATTTGTGGACCAAAAGTAAACTTTCAGTTTTGTACACCGAAAAATCAATCTTTTTGCTTTCGTGTCAAATTGCTTGATTTTGCATAGAAACTCTAACTTTAATTCTAATTTTTCTATGCTGTTTTTAACTGTATTCGGTGTGTTATGTTTTTCTGTATTTTACAATTTTTAATGAAATTGTTTTAAGATTTTATGAATTTTTGCTCTGCCGCAGAAGAAAGAACTGAATTAATTGAATGAGAAAGATATCTCTAACGCAATTCGAGGAAGTACGTTTAAATGGAATGCAGCAAAAAGTGTACGGCCAAAATTGTGGACACTTTTGGAAATTTTTATGTTTTTGAACTTTGTATGCTTATAGAAAACGTTACGTTTCACAAAATGCAAACTGGTATATATCATTTTAAAGAGAATATTTTACTGAATTCAATACAAAACACAAAATTCAATTATTTGCAATACAAAAAAGTTAAACGATAATAGTTATCGATATACATTAGATAGTGATGATTGCAGTGAGTTATCAGTACTTAGTAGGGTACCCTTTATTTTTGATTACAGCTTCACATCGACATTTCATTGAGCTGACAAGAGTTTTAAGCTCTTCTTTCGTTATTACATGATGCCAGGAAACAATTATAGCCTCAATTAGTTCCCTTTTATTTGATGAGCGCTTCATTCGGACAAGAGTTTTCAAACAGTGCCACAAATTTTCGATAGGATTGAGGTCAGTACTGTTTCCTGGCTTTGACAACAATTTAATGCTCTTTGTACGAAACCACTCTTTCGATATTTTGGCCGTGTGGCAAGGAGCAGAATCCTGCTGAAAAATAAACGAAGCATTGTTGGGAAAGAGATCTCTGATGGAAGGTAGAAGTTTTGGTTCTAGAATAGAGTCAATGTGTTTTCTGGCATTCAGTGTCCCATCGATTACATGAAGTTGACCAATACCATCTGCTGATATGCATGATCAAATCATAACACTAACTGGGTTCTTCACAGTTGCTTGAATGCAGTCAGGATGTAGCTCTTCTCCTATTCTACGTCTTACATATTTTCGCTCATCACTACCGAATAACGATATCTTAATTTCATCACTCCATATAACTTGTGACCACTGATCATCTGTCCAATTAATGTGTTCCTTTGCCCACTGTAGTCTTTTTTTTTTTTTTTTTCGTTGCTGAAAATTAAGATAAGGCTTTTTTCGAGTTCTACCTCTCAGTCCAACATCTGTTAATCATCTCCTGATTGTTCTTGAACTGACAGAAACACCAGCATCATTCAGATCACTTCTGATAGCCGCTGATGACATTTTTCTATCTTGGAGACAGTCTTTTTATTCTTCTGTCATCAATAGATGTGGTGCACCTTTTTCGGCCTTTTCCTTCTTTGTTTCTTATTGAATTTGTCTCCTGATATCGTAAACAAAACTTTCGGACTCCAGATGTAGTCACTAAATCATCCACCTGTCTTGCAATTTCAGCATAGGAAAGACCACTTTCTCGTAACACAATAATATTACATCTCTTTCTAGGTGTCCAATCTACTCTTTTATTTGATGTCATTGTTTTTGACTAAATATTAAAATTTTTTACAAACATTCCTACTTGTAATTGCAATGTATAAGAAACAGGTCCTCCTTCTACAGAACAAAGCAAAATAATGAATTGTTTCAAGTGTAAACATGATGTCAGCTTTTACTGGCAGTTACTAACATTTGATTGGTTCTCAGAACAAGAACAGCGATTGGCCAGGAAAGCTAGACATTACAAACCACTTCATAACTGTGTTTTTGTATTTATATTAAAGCACATATAACTTTTTTTGCATTGCAAATAATTGAATTTTGTGTTGTGTATTTAATTCAGTAATAAATTATCTTTAAAATGATATATACAAGTTTGCATTTTGCGAAACGTAACATTTTCTATAAGCATACAAAGTTAAAAAACATAAAAACTTCCAAAAGTGTTGTTCACAATTGTGGCCACAACTGTATGCAATTTATTAGGCAGTAAAAGGAAGTCATTTGGTGTCCACATCAGATGTTTTTTAAACTGTGGAGGTTATACACTTTCTCTATACACAGTCTTTTCCAAGAAAGCCTTAATGTTAGTTATAAAATGTAACAAAACCTTTGTTTTTTCTTTATAGCTGGCCCTGTTCTAGACCCCTTCTTTTTTCCTGAGAATTTAAGAGAAGGACGACGCACAACGTTAACTTGCATTGTGTCTGCTGGAGATCCTCCAATATCCTTTAGATGGGAGAAAGATGGAGAACCCATACAACCAGCCGCACTCGATGTTACGGTGGAGTACATGAATCAGTACACATCGACTTTATTCTTTGAAAGAGCGAGTCAGAAACACAATGGGAATTATACCTGTATTGCTTCAAACCCCTACGCTTCGGCTAACCATACTGCCAGTATGGTTCTGAACAGTATGTACTGTCTTTTGTCTTCCTTATATTTTTTCCACTAACATGTACTGCCGCTTTTGTTATATATATTTTAATTGAAGAGAAAAGTAAGCTTTGAAAATATCTATTAACTTGCTCCTTCATCTCACAAATGTAAATTTATGCTTTAGAACGATAATTAAAAGGCAATGAAACTTTGCAGATGCCTAGTCCTTCTATTACAAAATCAAAAAAATATTATTCGATGGAAAATATCAAATTTTTATTAGCTTTGAATGATTGAAATGAAGATAACTTGTATTTTTATTTAACCACTTAAGTCATTTCTTTAAGATTTCATGTTATGTAAAATATGTTATTTTTATTACAGTCTCACTAATAGTTTTATTATTATGTCATTTTTCATCATATAGGTTAGACAGAAGAGGTGAATATATTCTGTATATAATAGCTGGTGTTTTATTTGAGTAGAAAATTCTACCAAAATTTATAAATGTATCATTAATAAAATATCTTGCATCCTGTCAAAGAAACTTTTAAATGAGGCAGACTGCAACTATTCTAAGATAATGACTGAAAGACACAAATCAAAGATGGTAGAAAACTTCGAAACTGAATCATTGTTTCCAGATTTTGTGATTATAATTATTTTCATACTGATTATTTTCTATTGAATATTAATTGAAATATTAGACTATCACTGATTTCACTCAGACTATTCACTGAGTTCTAGAATGAGAGATTATAGAGATAAAAATCGCAAAGAAAAAAATTATTAAAATTTAATACGTTTTTCCAGTTGTATTGAATTTGAGTTATTTAAACAAAATTTTAAAGTTATTAAATCACTCGTTTTACTGCAAAGAAATTACTTAATTTTTAAGCAGTTACTTAATTTATAAGCAAAATTAACTGTTGCTTTCAAATTTAAAAATAAATTTATAAGCAGCTACTTAATTTTGTCTATTGAATTTTTTGAGTTAATAGTTTTTCTCCCTTGTTTGAGCATCGATATTTGGATTAAGGATTACTATCTCGAATCTTTCATGAAATGTGAAACATTTTATCGGATTTGATAAAAACGTTTTTTCAAAATTTATGAAAAATATGAGCCTTTAAATATCTCCAATTTATTCTTAAATTTCTGAAGTTTATCGAAGCTGCTATATGGTACTCTATCCTAACAAAAAAGTTTTAGAATAAAATGTCGCGGCAGATACTATACAATCTTTCATTATTTTTCTGAGATAACGAAGAAATTCTTTTATGAATCTCAAGAATCAGATAAATTTCATCACTAATGCAGATATTTTTTGATAGATGCCAACAAAATTCCTGCAACATATTATTTATGAGCTTTGGAAAGTCGATTAATAATAGAGAGTGTGGGGCAGAAACAATTAGGCGATTGATGACTTAAAAATAAACACTTTTTCTCAAAAGTGACAATTAGCTAAAAGGTTGTAAAACATATCGAAAAGCATTTCGTTTCCGTTTTGGTGGTAACATCACGTAGGAGGTAAGACACATCCATATCTTTCCCTGCCATTATTTATGATATTCAACATCAAATTCTCTTGAATTGCATAAATTTCCTTTCTGATGTAAATTTTCCCCAGCTCCTGTATTCCCTTTCTGTATCCTGTTTCTGTTCCAATCAGACAAAAGTACAGGGCATTCAGCATCTCTGAAACGAGAAATAACATGTTGCGGTGCGGGAATATTGCTGTGCTGAGAGCCACTGACTCCTGATGATGAACCAACCGGGTTTTCTCTGTTTGTCCGGTATCTGAAGTTCTGACTGTCGAAGTATTCGCTTAGATGAAAATGAGTTTCGCAGGATGTTACCAGATGATCAATTGACTGCAGCATCTAATGTTATTATTTAAGTTCATTTGCGGTCATTTTCTGCAAAATTCATTCTGTTTGATGTTCTTCCGGCTAACGTCACATAATAATTAAAGGTTTTAAAACACGTTACTTAGCGATGTATGCTTCACCATGGCAAATTCAAACGTTCGCGTGGCAAAAATTTGAAACGTCTAATTCTTTCTGATCCATCCACATTAACCTGATTCTATTACCTATGTTTAATAATTTATTGCTTTTAATTTATATTAAGAATATTTCTATAAATAATTAATGAAAAATAAAATTATTCATTAAAGTGAATAAAATAGAGGTATGTATATTTTAATGCAAATGTTTGTCTATGAATAATCAGTTCTTAAAAATTGTTGCAGGAGTCTTAATCGTAATAATTATAAAAATATAATTATAAAAATATAAATAATAAATATAAATTATAAAAAGTATGATTTTTTTATTTATTTTAATTTAATTACAGCTTTAACTTAATTGAAAAATGTTAGTTTCCTCAGTTACAGCATTAAGAATTTTTTGTGGTAAATGTGGTAAATTTTTCATTTTAAATCTTTTGAGATGCTTTAGCTCTCATTTTCTAAGGCTCCTATTTCGGCTGTGTTAAAAAAAAAAAAAAAAAAAAAAAAAAAACAGTGAAATTGGAAATGTGACATTTGAAAATCCAAATAACAACGCTGAGTTACAAAGTGCATCATGTAACTATCTCTTAACTACTAAATGTTTTCAGTTCCTCCAAGATGGATAATAGAGCCCAAAGATGTAGAAGTGGTTCAAGGTAGTTCTGTCCGAGCAGATTGTCAAGCTGAAGGATATCCTAGACCGATAATAAGGTGGAAACAGCTTGTTGGTGAGTTGTTGAACATTGTTATGAATGTTATTTATCTATCTTAATAACTGAATAAATAGTTCATCTTGATCTCTTTTAGCAATATATACGATAAACATTTTAAGGACTAGAAATAACATTTTAGCAGGAAAATTTGAAAATAATCTGACGCAACAAATAAACAAGAATGCAAACAATAAATACTAGAATTATTAAAAGAGAACAGTAAGACTAACAGCAACGCTGTATGTCGGCCAACCGAGATAGTGGTTAGACTTCTGTAGCGAAGGGCCTGGTTTTGAATCCAGGAAACGGCGTGGATGTTTATAAATGTATAGTGCCAGTGCAGAACCAGGGCACGAGATTAGTAACACCGCATTTCAGAAATCGTAAATTGCAACTAATATGTCACCAATACGAGCTTAACGTATCCTTTTAAACCTAGTAATACGAGAAAAATAACAAAATTCTCAGAATAAATCTACAGAACAGCAACCATTTCAGATACTGCTCGAAGAATACGTTCCACAGAAGCTTTGTAATTTGGTAACACATCAAGACGATTAAAATGAAAACCCGTGCATTGAACCTCTTTATATTCCTTGGTAATCAGAAGACAAAAAGAAATGATAAATATTTTATTTAATATATTATTCACCAGTTAAAATTGACGAAGGCTTTGAGCTCTATTATTAGTATTTAAGGATATGTGATGGATTAAACTTATTATATTGTAACTACAAAGTGAAGGTGCTTTCATTTCCATTTTCTTATGCAATTAAATTTTTTGTAAAATGTTTTCTTTGTTTATGATTTTCAGCTTCTTACTTCGATCACTAACTTCACATCAATAACTTTTTTTCAGCTTTTCATACTTCAACCAATCTTTTCATTTTTTTTATAGTTCAGTCAGTAACATTTTGCAGTACCTTACTTCACTCACTGACTGAGTTAAGCACCAAAGAGATCAATTTATGTTTTGTAGAGGTATGGAAATTTTCTAATTTTAGAGTATATTATCGAGTTAGATATAATGAGTATATTATCGAGTTAGAACACGTTTTTAGGTCAATTCTATCCAGTTTTATGAATTTAAATTTTACATCACTGTCACTCGCTGATATATTAGTTCTCAGTTTATTTTGAAGATAGTTTAGTTATGAAGTTATGCATACATTTAGAAACTGGCGATTACTAGTAGTAAAATGTTATTCTAAGCGCTGTTCGCACGTTATCTGACGAACCACACCCTACCCACGGAACATAGGTTAGAAAGAAAAGATATAAAATACAATAGCGCACTCAGTATTAAATGCAATCTAGTTAAACATTTAAATTAACATTAATGCATGTTAAGATAGTCTTCTAAACATAAGAGGTATACTTTATTCGTTCATATTTAATCATAAAGTGTGCTGAATAAGAAACCATATTTTTGAATAAATTCTGTTTAATTACGAAGAAGGACGGAACATTATATGTCTCTCTTTATTTGAAGCACTGGAATGGACAGACAAATTCGATCAAATGGACAAATCAGAAAATGATTTGTTTCCATCATTAAGGTATATTACTAGTTATGCATATTTTTATCAGAAATTTATTTACCTTTATTTTAGGTTCTAATGGAGCACCAGAAGCTTTCCAGACCATCATGAGCAGTGCGAGAATGCAAGTACTAGAAAACGGTTCTTTGCTAATATTAGAAGCTAGTCCAGCTGATGGAGGCTCATTCCTATGCCAAGCATTCAACAGAATTGGTCCTGGGTTAAGCAAGATGCTTACCATTACAGTACACGGTAATGACATTTTGGATATTGTTAACTAGGTTGTATATTTATAAATTCTAAAGTTTCATAGAACGTATACAGTAGACTAGGCAATAACAGAAATTCATGTTAGTAACCATATGACGGTCATTACAGTAATATAATTATATTATTTTACTGTAATGACCATATTTACCATATTACAGTAAAATAATTATAAAATTATTGGTATAAAAATACAATTTTAACATATTTGGTACTTTTATAATATTGTAATAAAATTACATATTCTTCATAAACTCAAAAATGTATTATCCGTCAGCTAACCATTTGTACATCTGTGTTACTTTTTTATATTGTTAAATAGTGAATGCATGCAGTATATTTATGTATGTATGCCTGTATGTATTTATGTATGTTCCTCGAATTGCGTAGAAACGATGACACTAACAGCCACGAAATTTTGAACACATAAATAGTCCTCCAACCGAATGAATGTTTTTGAATTTAGAATGAATTTTGAATTTAAATTTGTTTTTTATTCATATCACATTTTTCAAAAATTTAAAGAAATTATTAACTAATTCAGTGATTTAAAAGCAATATGTTGCCAGTGTTCGAAGTAAAGCAATTCTTGTCATCCAAGCGTCAGTGTATTACCAATTGACAAAAGTCATTTGCCAATTTCAGCTATTTAAGTGCAATATGTTAATTACATTTGTAAATAAATTACTTTTATTTCATGTAATAGGGTGTTGCCATACTACAAAGCATAAAGTTTTTAAATTTCAAATTGAATCTGTCTGTTAACTGACGAACTAAGCAATTTAGAAGATATAAACGCAATTCTTATTAATATTTTTTGCATTTTTTGATTGATTTAAATAATAGTGTATTCAATCATCTTGTCATTCTGGTCTCGTGCCAACAATTTGTACAGAAATTCTTCAGGATTTATAATATTTAGTCCTTGATTTCTTATACATCTCTTACAGCTAACATATAATATATCGCATTAAATCATAATACTACTGTAAGTTCCTTTGTTGATTTTCTTGTGGTTTATTGAGAAATATTCTCTACTCTTTTTTACACAGGTATAAAAAAAAGGAAATTGTATCACAGAAGCAATTTAAAATCTTATTCCTATGGAACTACCAATGTGTCCATATCATCAAACATGTAAAATAAAAAGGCAAAATAAAATCAAGCAGTTAATGTTTGACCTACTATCAACACGTCCAAGATATATTAAAAATATAATAGTACGCCAAAAATAATATAAATATCATCCAAAAGATCTGAATGAAATAAAAATGCTGACTTCATTTTATTATATAATTTAAATATTAAATAATAAGATGCATTTGGACTCTGAAACACACAATACTTTAAAATGATTTTCATCATTCCAGGCTTTTTCGGGTCATAACTAAACGTAGTTGCCATATTAAAGAAATTTTACAATGAATAACAGCTCATTATATAATTTGCACTGCATTGAGACAGAAGAATCATTGGACTGAAGAGACTGATTAAATTAGTGTAATCAAAAGAGCAATACTTTTGGTTTATTATTAAAATCACAAAGTATTTTTAAGAAGTTATGCTAGTCAGACCCAATGAAATTACATTAATTGAACACTTTAAAATCATTGTACACTGAGCAAGAATGTGGGACTGTTCTATATCTCCCGTTCTGTTGGACAGATTGACGTAATTCGAATTGCGTTTTTCATGTCTTAGGATATAAATTAGATTTATATATAGCATTGTTCTAATATAGGGATTTTGATACAAAATCGGACGTTTTCTGAAATGACAAGACTTTTTTTTTCCATGTTTCGATTCTAAGCCTCAAATTATGGCTAAATAATTAATTTTGCAGAATAGTTTCGAAATTTACGGAGAAATTCAAAAATTTATCTTGGTGCATTTTTTTAAGTTTACGCCAAGAATAATTCACTTGGCGAACTTCTTAATATATGGCAACCCTTTCCCCTTTTACACTGTGTATGAGAGGAAAAAAAAGTCACATCGTTCCTATTTTCAAATAATTTTAACAGAGTGCCCAAACCACACTTGATGTTATTATCGCTTTCAACAAATATGGCAAATTTCGAAATTAGCCAGTATGTAAATTCACGAATACCTTCGGAAAATTTTATTAAAAAACTCTAATTTTTTTGTAGTGCTACTTATAAATACATCTACATTAACATGATGGTAAACAATTTACATATTATAATTCAAAATGTTTTTCGAAAAATTTCTAAAAATTATTTAAAAATACAAATTTAAAAAATTAATCATAAAAATCGGGGAATTTTATTTGGAATGAACCTCAATTTCGTAATGTGAAAGGAAGAATCAAATAAGTTTAATTGAAAAGAGAGATTAATAAATATATACCAAATTCAATTAACGTCGCACTTTCGAGACATGAAAAACGCAAGTTAAGTTTCGTCAATCGGCCAGTAGAACTGGAGATATAGAACTGTCCCTTTTTTGCTTTCTTAGCAGTGTACATAAATATAGACGTACTCGTATAAATAGTAATAACTATTTTAAGCAGCTAGAATTTTATGTAATGATTTAAATCTCTGGTGCAAAATTATACATATAGTTTTCAAATGATATAGAAGCAGAATTTAACTGAATTAATATTTCATTTCAATTTACAAAGTTATTAATTTTACCTTTTAGTAAGTAAATGATACATGATGGCAGGGGTACAATTAAAAGAAATATTTCCCTAGATAAATATTTCGACATATGGTAAGAAATTCGTCATGTCCGAAATATCTTCAGGAGAATCTCTTAGTAGTCAAATTGAAACTTAAATTGTGGGCAGTATTACAGAACAACGGGAAATTTGATCTGGCAAGGGTAATTCTTGAGATTATCATCAAAAATAAGCAAAACGTATAGTAATAATTTTGCTTATCATCTTCGTATTGAATAATTTAATCTTTCAAGGTTTAATTAGCGATTGTTGATGTATAAGCTTAATAAGAGATTTAATTCAACTTGACGACATGGCGTAAGGGAAGGGAGATCACATCTCTTCTGCACGGCAAAATTAATGCTTTCATACGGCTGTTTTATATAAAGGATACAGACATTAAGCAAATATCTATTGTGTCTTGCATATACGATATATATGTCTTGCATGTCTTGCATACGTCGTATATTTCCTTCTGATTCGAAAAACTGGAAATTTAATGGATATTTTCCTTTTAAAATTCTCGTTACGCTTTCAAATGTTTCTCGAACATAAGACTATACGATTAGATGCAAATGAAAACATATAATGTGTTTAGAATAGCAATTTCTAAAAGTTGTACAGGAAAATTATGATATTTTTGTTTAACTAATATTAATTTCGCTGTTGTCAAATTCCTGCCTTATTTGAAATGGATTATAGCTTTCTATTAATAAACCATGTTCCTTACTACTACCTGTCAACTTTCATTTACTATTTATGACATTTGATTCATTAGTGAATTATGCAGTTATGAATGAATATTGTGAAGTTATTAATTAACCACGACAGCTAAAATCATGAAAACAGTTATGACATTAGATTGATCTGGATATGCGTAAAAGGACGCCTTAACCCATTAACCGCCAAAACTGCAAGGAATGTTTCTTTTCTCATGAAAATAATAACAAATATTAAATTAAGCATTTATATCATAAATTTACATTGAAAATAAAAAAATGCTCTTACCTGTGGAAAACGCGAGCGTTGCGTTCGCGCAACTTCAGCGGAATAAGACTACGGATGTTTAGTGAGTAGGATTGTACTCGTGTGATGTTTATTTTGAGTGGAGCGCAGGATTACTTTTTAGTTGTATAGCGTTTTATAAATCTAAAAATCACTTTACTTGTAATTAAATTAATATTAAAATATACATTGTATTTCTTTTACAAATACAGATTATTTCAATTGAATTCATAGCATGAAAAGCTTGATTACAATCATGGTGTAAAGCTACATTGCATACTTTGCATCTATAAACAGTCTGGCTATGGTACTCTTTACAACAAAGTCTTTCGTTATCAACGGACTTAAATAATAATGATAAAATGTCTACCATCTCCATGCAATGGTTTTTGAATGCTGAATTTACTAGGTCTTCCCGTTGTTTTTGTCTTTTATAATTTCTCTTCTGTCTCTCTCTTCATGTTCTTCCTGAGACATCACTAACAGTTCCTATATCTGGCTAATTCTACACTCTCAATAGGAGTTTGCAAAAGGAATAATGCATTCTCGCGTCTGAAATCTAAAAGAGTATATTTCCAGTAGAAATAGTGGTGATATTTAATAAGTTTAGATACGGTCTCATCTCATATAATTTATCAGTATTGTCAATTTGACTATTGTCAAATGCAAATTCTGCTTCATATTCATGTACTGCAAACGTGATATCGATTCTCATACAACAGAAACCGACATGTCCTTATCAAAAGACCAATAATTTTTTTCTTTAGGTAAAGAATAATATCCTGTAAGCAATAATATTCCAATAAATCTTCTCATATAGGCTTCAGATGCAATAAATTCCGGGATTTTTTTTTCTAAGTGTATATATGTGTCTGTTCAACGAGAAGAGAGTAAATGTCTAAACCAAAAGAAAATCGAAAATCTGTGCACTAGTTTTACCTTGTATTTTGTCTTTTATAATTTCTCTTCTGTCTCTCTCTTCATGTTCTTCCTGAGACATCACTAACAGTTCCTATTTTATCCACTTCAAGATTTCAGTCTTCTGCTTTTTAAACGTTTTAGTATGACTATAATTGCTTTTAGAAGGCTCAAACTTACTTCTAACGTGAATTTCAACTTCCCCAGCAGTATCATTTGGTAAAATATCATTATCATTATTTAAAACATTGCCATTCCTTTCTTCTTCGTCACTAGTTTCTGCAATATCTGGGGGAACAACAACAATATCAGTTTCATTTTGGTCATTATTAACATTATCATCACATGTTTCTTCAACAAAAAATCTTTGAAGGGCTTCTTCTAATGTAAGGTACCTCGTTCTAGGCATTTTTAAACAACCAGAACATGAATCAGAATATCGAAAGGAATAAGTGAAAAAGGAGATTGACTACCCGTTTCCTGCTGACGTTGCGTCAGCGCAACATCTGTTTTCCCTTGCTTCCCAACTCAAATATAAACATCTGACTGATGGAATGTTCTGATAAACGGTGACCTTGACTAAAAATAGATCACTCATAAAGACGGCGATTCTTTCGTTAAATATTTCCAGCAAAAATACCCGTTAAATATTTCCAGCGAAAATACCCGGTCGAAAATTTTGCTTAAATTTTGCTTAAAGTATGAGATTAATTATTATAAACAAAATGATTGTTGAAGGCAAATATTTTTTACAGAAATAATGTTCATAATATTCCCTAAACAAATCATCTTCTGGTATAAAATATTTTAGATAGTTATATTTATATACACATTTATTTTGACCGTTGCGTTAACGCAACACCAGCGGCTAATGGGTTAAGTGTAAGGAGAATATTATATATCCTCATGTAATATCTGTTCTAATGTAATGTACGCACTTATTTAACCGTATGAAAAGTGCATTTGGCGTATGTATATAAAAGGTCATCTCCAGAATAATAATACTGTTTACGAAGCTGTATTATCAGCCATAAAAGTAGCAATTGAAATAGTCATTCTCAAAAATCTCAACGAATATAACATAAAATCTGATTCCCAAGTTGCTATTTTAGCGATTAAGAATCCCTTAGCTTCCTATCCATTGGTTTCCGACATAAATTCTCCTCTTGGCAAAATTCGAAACTACAAAATTCAAATTTCATGGATCAAAGTACATAGCGGCCATTTTGTCAATGATCAGGCAGATTAGTTAGTCAAAGAAGCAGCTATTAGTTAAGACGATACTGAAATCATCATTCCATGGCCTCGCTCAAATGTCAAGTACCAACTAAAACAACTTGCTTCAAAGTCTTGACAAGATTTGTGGAACAATGCTCTACAGAAAATACGCACATATAACTTGATCCCCAACGTATGCTTGGCATCTCTGTACTCGAATCCTTCATTGTATTGCTATAGAACAGGATGCGGACCCTTCTTTATTTTTGCGCAGGTAAACATCAGTATCCAAATGTTTCACAAATTATGCGGCTACTCTCTTCCTACGTCCAAGATCTGTGTCAAGTGTAAGTGCTCATACAACATAAATTTAGTGAACTTTTACATGCTGTGATTATAGATAAAATCATTCCACTCCTGAACTTTATAATCTGCAAAAACCTTTTATAACTAAAATAACTCCGTGGACACCTACCTCCATAATATTACTATGACAGTTCATAATGACATTGTGCTGCCAATATTTATTATAGTTAACTCGTTAATCTTTTTACTAATTATGTTTATCTCTTATTTTCGTTGCACCAAAACAGATGTTCAAGTTAATTTGTGAATTTCAAATTGCATTCAGACTATATTCTAATTTCGTTATGTCCTACATCATCATTTTTAATAAATATCAGATACGGGGCGTACAGTGGGAATGCACGATGTACCATAATAGGCAAACATTATACCATTTGGAAAACTTTAGTTGCCGAATTCTTCAACCCTTCTTTGTAAATTCTTATAAAACTTGCAATTATTTTTTCCTTTTTTCTTTTTTCCCTGTCTCCTTTTTGTTTCCCCCTCTCTTCTTTTAAATAGTTAGTTAGTATGGGAAGACATGAAGACATTTGTCATTTTTTGGGAAGCAGGCAAGATGAAAAATATGCAACGCCTTCACCGGGAATCGAACCACGGACCTCTATAATACGCGCCCAGTGTGCAGACCACCATACCTTGAAGGCATTCCAAGAAGGCGGTCTGCACATGCTGGTAGAGCTCCGTTATAGTTTCCTTTAAATTGGTGCATTTCCTCCTTAAATTGTTAAACTTTTACGCTTTTGCCTTCAGGTCGATACACCTTTTCTACTGAGATACATTCTGATTACCTCAGCGACCACGTGACTTAGTATGGCTTAATCAAACAATGTAGATGACTTCAGAGATCATATAACTTATGCATAGCTAATGTAAACAAACAATGCTGATGACTTCAGAGAACACGTGATCTATGTATATCAAATGTAAACAAACAAGGTCGTACTTCCTCTTCTCTTGGGAATGTATGACATAAATATAGAAAAAAATGTGCTTTCCCCAATAAAATCTCTTTTATCAAACATACATGGAAACAGTGAATTCTCACAAATTTTTCGCCCCTCAGTGTGAGGTTTTTATTTCATCAGTATTTTTCGCATTGTCATAAAAATAAGTAATCAAAACATTCTCCATTATTGGATTGAGTAACATATATCTTATATATTTCATTACAAGCATTATCCTTTAATTTCAGCTGAGTTATTAAATCCCGTTTTAAGCATTATAGATTACAACATATTGTTGCGTTCTACGGGTTCATGGATTTGGGGTTATTAAAAACAACACTTGATGGAGAATCAAAACACAATTTATTCGTCAATATTATAAGTAAGTTCCAAAGACACTTTTACAGTCGAAAAACTGTTGAAACAATCAGCAATACAGACTCCAGGCTACAACGGTGAAGACAGCTTCACGGCAAAACACTGAAATACAGCTAGCGATTCGGTCGATCGTTCTCGAGTTACTCTTTGAACTCAAGACCCAACTATTGAAATCAACATACTACTATACTACTCCAGCTACTTCGCATACAGGCAAGGTATCTATAGCTTTTGACTTGCCTCCAAGAATATTCTTGGGAACATCGGTAAGAACTCGTACTAGAATTTTCCCGGTTCTTCTGAGGCATATCGCCGACTTTGTTGCTAAATGGGCGATTTCGCTCCGAATCTAGTAACCTTGTCTTTTCTTGCCATTTTGTGGCATCCCTAACCCCGCTTTGCGGGGAAGCTATCTTACCGCAGCTGGGCATTTCGTAACACTATTATTTATTAAGAGAAATAAGAATAATTTCATTGCATGTTATTACTTTCTCTGATCTCATTTTCTCTTGCCTCAACTCATTATATATGTTATTGGCTGCAATGGGGAATTTAGAAGAAATAGTGTTTAAGTACACGCTATTAAGTTATCTCAAAAAATAACCCTAAATCACTGCAATAGAATTATATTTCACTTACATTTAAATAGCCATAATTTTCAAATTTAAGTTTAGAGAGATTTTTTTTAATAGCCTGGAAATTCTTTTAATAATTTTCATTGCCGTACATATAATGTTACCAATCTATTTATGGTACATTTATGGTAAACATATTATAGAATTAAAATAGAAATCTGCTACATTATTTCTTGTCATGACTTTTGAAAAGTGCAAATTTTATCATTATTAGACAATTAAACGTATATTTGTCTTTATTTCATTCTCATATTCGTCTAGATTTAAGTAAAAACTATTAGATACATTATGCAAACATTTAGACATATTAAATAAACACTTAGACATTAACATAAAATTAGCATAAGACTGCATTAACATAGGCTTTAACATAACATTAAAATAACATAGACTAGACATAAGTAAACACCTAGACATAAAGAACAACCTAAATTTTAGAAACACTCTTTGGATACATTTAAAGTGATGAAAATACTATTAAATAAACCATCACTGCAGATTTATAATCCAAAATATTTGATGAAATTTCTAATTAGAAACTTTATCATTATGACTACAATTAATCCTGTAAGATCTTCATAAAGGAAAGGTTTAGGCTCTTAGGTATTCTTTCGATAATTTGATGATTATTAACTCAAAGGAGCGTTAACACTGAAGGGCTAAAGGTCTCGAAAGAGCATTTTGCTTCGGTTCACCATAAACGGCATATTACTTTTTAAAATTTTGCCACCAAATATTATCACTTTGTATTACATTTAAAGAAACTAAATAATGAAGAATTTGCATGAATGTATGTATATTTCACGCATTGTGGAAAAAAAATAAAAGGTATACACAATCGTTAAATTTTGAATAACGGGTTCCTCCACCCGAATATGGGAACCTGGAAGCCCCAATTTTTAATTCATTTTATTATCTATTTCATATTTTGCATTTGAAACATTAACGAATTTTTAATTAACAAACTCAACGATTTTAAAGCGAGTAATGGCAACGCTTCACGGAAAAAAAGAAAAAAAAAAAAAAAAAAAAATCTCGAGCGTGAGAGACTGTCTATCGGAAATCGAAAATTCTAAATTAATGTTTTTAAACGTTCTGTGATATTGTTGTTGAATTGAATTTTATGTGGTTTGAGTGCAAAGAACATGCTATTTAAAAAATAAAGGTAACACACAAAACGACCAAAAAACTCTCTTTAGGGTAATATAAAAATCTGAAAATTTTCAGATTTTACTTGAATACATAGAATATAAAATAATAAAACATCCTTATTAAAATAATACTTGGAATTAATTTTGCATATAATGAGATTAAAGTTAGTTTTCTGCTCATTTAAACTTATTGAACACAGAACATCATGATTTTCTCTAATAAAATTTGAAGATTTCGTTTGAATATGAAACGAGGTTATTTCTTGCATACTTAAAAGTAAGCAGAAATAAATTTTTGTAAGTTAGCCCAATAATTTATTAAAAGGAATCTAAATTTATGTTTCAAAAAAAAAAAGAAATACACAAAAAAAGTAATCTCTATCTTTATCGAAACTTAAGCGATAAAGAAACTTTATGCCTTAATATCAAATAGATATTATTATATTATTAGATTAATAATAATGTGGATACAAATAACGTTTAATCTGCTGCATTTTTATATTTAATTCTAGCAACGCAAGAGTTAGTTTTGCTAATTTTACAGCGCTTTTTTAGAACTGATGTAATGTATATTTGAGAAAGTTTTATTTAATTCAACTGCCTCTTCTCATTCTTTGATGACCTTTCCACGTCGTTGTGATTTTAATTGAGATTTAATTCCTTTAATTTCAGTTCCGGCTCACTTTAAAACGAAGTTTAGTGCCCAAAAAGTGAAAAAAGGAGAGCAAGTAACCCTTTCTTGTAAAGCCCATGGAGACCGGCCAATCTCAATTGCGTGGTACAAAGATGGAGAGATTCTCAGTAACGGCACTATTCCCAGGTACATTGTCCTCTGCAACTACACAAGTGAACTTTATTCCCCTACCATTAGGGAAATTGAAAAGGGGCACTTTCCAAGATTCCCAGCACTGTTTTCTTTCTTTTATTTAGTTTTGTTATTTTTTCCCTTTACAGTTTGCTCGACCTGTTGCTGTAAGTTTTGATTCTCTTTGAAGTTTCAGGCTCAAGAAAAACTAAGAGTGGGTGGAAATAGAATTTTATTATATTGATCTGCATGTTCTTACTTGAAGAATAACTATTTATGCACAGTTAGAAGGAGCAATGCTATATCGAAATGAAGTGCCAGTGATTAAAAATTCCATCTTATAAATTACAACGCAGAACTGAAGAATTTTAAAACTAGAGATTCATTGCATTGGCAAATGAAGTTTTTTATTTAAAAAAAGTATTTGATAAAAATATTGGTAAGTTTAACTTCCATTTTACAAGAAATGAATTTTAATTAAATTATTAAAATTTTATTAATTTTAATTTTAATTAAAATTTAATTAAAACTTAATAAAAAATTTATAAATTTTAATAATAATTAATTAAATTTTAATAAATTTTATTATTTAAAATATAGTTATAATTTAATAATTCTTATTAAGATTAGTTATTGAAAAATGGTTAGCAGTTCCACGTAATGTAATGTAACATACGAGAGTGCTGCAACCCCCCTGGGCGAAAAGAATCGGCTTCATTAACGCAACACGCCCAACACCGACAAACGAAGATACAGTTAAAAACATCAAACCAAAATTCCCGGTATTATTCTGTTGGCACTTATAAAGTTCATTAAATCCTTTGCAAATCTAAGCTCTTTATTTTGGCAGTATAATTTCATTATGTTGCCATGTTTTTCTCTAACATGCCGCAATAATGTTTAGTCTTCGACGAAATGTTGTGCATTGGCTTCAGTACTACAAAGAGTATTATTTTGCAAATTAAATATTTTCAGCTACGCCGGTAAGCGCTCGTGTCCAGTAATTATTTAATTGTAATCAAAATCATATATCATTCTCATATTTTTAGAAATTTCAAAGTTCAACAAATAATCTTTCCTTTTCCAGAAATGTTACATTTCTCATTCCAGCAATCATAAAAAAATCCTTGATTTTACCAGTAAAAAATCTTTTAAATGCTTGAATAACAAACGCATCCCGGGGTGTTACCCATAACAGATTAATAATAATGTGGATACAAATAACGTTTTCTTTCGCCAGCATGTCAGCCCTCTCGTTGCCTTTAAAACCTTTATGGGCTTTCAGCTAGTTCACTTTGTGTATCTTTTCAACTTTTGCAAGGATATCTTTCATGTATGAGACCAAAGCATTCGTGTTGTATCGTAGTTCCACGTGTCGTATATCTGTCTTTTGTTAAGATTATTGTATTTTATTTGATAAATATTTATTTATTTACTTATTTTACGCCTGCAATTGAAAACGAACAAACACAATTTCAGTTATGAATCACAGTTATCTGTTGTGTTCGACTGTTATTTCACATGGGAATGTTTATAAAACCGAGTAAACAAATTAAGATTGGAACCTAGGTGGTCAACTTATTCGCATTTACTATATTTTCATTAACTTACTTAATACGTGTTTACACTTATTGATAAATAATATTCAGTAATTGAAAAATAATATAAAAGATAATATTTCACTTCCTTCTTTCATATGAAATTTACATCAATGTAGATAACGTAAGGAAAATGTAACTTATTTTTCTTTTATATTATTTTCCATAAGTTCTTCTTACATTTAAAATCAAAGTGTTGCAATAAAATATAACTATGTGGTTGAAATATAATTTGAACTGTACAGAGATCTACTATAAAGATTTATCTGTATGTCTACCGTCTTGAACGCTCTTCCTCTAAAGGGCATTATTCACATATAAGCAGTCCTGTAAATTGGCAGAATGGCTTTGCTACGTTATTCATCTAAAATCCAAAGATAACTGGCTATGTCTTCTGTATGAAATCATCCAGATCCCTTAGCGGTTTTGTGTACATTTCCTAGCTGAAATATTCTCGCAGCTAAAATTTGCCTGGAGACAAATCTGATGATTACGGAGAACATGAAATGGCTCTTCTGCAGCCAGTCCACTTGCTTTCGAATACATGATCCAATAAATTTCTGACTACAAGAATACTACGGGGACGCTGAAAATGCACGCCATCTTTGATACAAATTGCAACCAGCGGTGGAAAAATGATTGCAGTAGATGGAAAATATAACATCTTTATAGTATCACATCAAGGATGATGATTCCTATCAATTAAACTATCCACAAGAGCATCTATAGGTTAACGTTTGGGCTACCCGTTTAGTAGACTTGAAATTTGCCTGATATCCCTCCAGACTCGGTTGTTGCACTGGTTCGATTCTCTGAACATATAGAAAATGAAGCAGTCAAATCCATAACCTTGTATTCGGATAACAAGGTTGTCGATTTGCCTGTTTTATTTTCCACTTCGGCGTGTTTCTCTTGCGTCTACATCGAAATTGATCATACCTGAGAGCATGATATTTGCCAACAATTCGCCATCAACCGCCATTCGCCGGTTCAAAAGTTCAAATGATAAGCAAATATCAAATTGCAAGACTTCCTTTGCATGAGTGCGATTTTGGAATATTCTCACCAGCCTTGACTGAAATTAATGCAACTACAAGGAGTTTCGCTGAATATATTTCTTCATATTTGTCGAAATACTTTTCCTTTGTGCGTTCTTTGAGGTAATTTCTGACTGCCTTGGATGGTGAATTCCCAGAACTTTCTGCGTCCAGAAAATTTGGATGCCATTCCTTGATGGTGTTTATATCCAGAACCGTTTTCTGATATTCATCTGTGGAATTTTCAATGCGCGAGAGAGTCCGATTTCAGCTTTACAAATCTAGTGTGACTATATATTCTCATACATCGATTTTATCTTATGTGCTACGTCAGTTACATAATACGTTAAATTTGCGTTTTTTGAATTATTCGTGCTGCATGATAAATTCGTAAACCTCGTAATATTTTGCCGTCACGTAAACCACTCAGCTGCAAAATTCTATATTTTTTCAATGTATCCCTGTTTCTTTCAAGAAAAATGCATATCTCTAGAGATGCTTTCGCATGATATAAAGTCTTCTTTTAGACGATGCCTTTGCGAATGTACAGTGTCATTTGAGTAAAATCTCTTGGTTTCCATTTCACCAAAAAAAGCTAATAAGAAGTTTCAATTGTATTTAAAATCTTTACCTCTAAACATTTAAAGAAGACGATGGAGCGAAAACGTTAAATCTTTTGCATGGAGAGAGGCCAAAATCTGTTCATATCAAACATCTAAAACTCCCATGTATGCGGAAGTTTGTGGAATGGATTTCCTTCCATGCCAAGTAAAATGCAACAGCGTTTGCAGTAAACTAATTAAGCGACTACTTGTCCCTTGAGGATCTTTGTGCAGTTTCACATAGCTTTAAAATAGGATTGCAGCTTCGAGCATCAATAGTTAAACGTTGACTCTAAAGAAACCAGAGAGAAAATGCATAAGCTATTTTAGTCAGCTATTTTAGTCGCTTCGAAAGAATAACTGGCATGACATTTAACAACTCGCAAAATCAGTGAGCCATCCACTGACGTAATGAGGGAGAGCACCAGGTAGAAAAGGAACGCAGGCTTTCGGGAAACCTGCCGATCTCTGAATGCACGGATGTTTCGGGTGACTTCGCTGTAAATGAGTGAAGTGAAGACGTAGATCTCAATGCTTCCATTAGTCGTAAAGCTGTTATGTATGATGACTCCATTAATAACAAACTAGTTTATTTTCTTGATGCCATTGGCATTTTAAGCTAGATGCCACTGATTATCTTCAATGCAGAGAGTTCAATGAAAAGGAAACTCTAAACTAAACCTGCACTAACAAATCGTTTTTCCCCAGATTTACAATCCATTTTCTACGCTCTTGATTTGCGGTTTGTATCTAACTATTTATACAGGAGGGTGAGAGAGTATTACGTCTTTACATCGTTGAATATATGAATTAGAGAAAAGTTTGTCTGGATTTTCAGGTAAACTATATATTTTTAAACTCCATCAGTTCCGTTTAAGAAGCTATAAGCTCTAAGAATTTTCTTCTTATCATGTTGCCCAGCTAATGCACAATATCTACCTTTTGAAAGGCTGGCAATTTCAATAAATACTAAGCTGAATTTATTCATACAGATCTATTTTCTCGATCATGATTCTAAATCGAGAGCCACTGACATTTTGCAGTATTTTAAATACAGGAGATCCATTACAACTCAGCTTGTGACTGAGTGATTGTAAATTTCATGCTTGTTCTACTCCTAATTTAATGATTAATCTTATGTTTTTCAACTAGAATTGGCATCTTGTAGATGTTGACATCAGCTCTTCTTCTCCCAAACAGAAAAAAAAATAATATATATATATACTAAAATATATATATTTTTAGTAAGATAAACTTTGATTTGCGACCTCATATTTGCAGTAGTGATATTTCAGTGTGCTCTGAACTTAATTTAGCGGCGTGATTATATGTTGCCTCGATACCTAAATGATTAAGTCATATACGTTCAGTTAAAAGTACTTTTAGTGGCAAGTAGAGATTTAACTTCAGAGTTTCTGTGTGATTTAGATACTAAATATTTTGAACCTTATATTAGATTTGTTATTATTACAAAGATTTATGATTTGCGTGTCATCTACGTTATTTTCTCTTTATTTAATTCATACGTAAGATGTAGATGGAAATATATAAGGTAACATATCTACATATGTAAATGTATATATGTAAGATAATTAAGATGTATGTAGCTAGCCTATGGATCTAGAGTATATTGTTTTTAAATCAGCGATTTTTAAATTTCAAAAATACAAAGTTTTGGAAATATTAACTATTATACTCGTATCTTTTGCTCCTCTATCCTAATTATAATTTTCTTACGAACAATTTCAGCTGGATATATTCATTTTCACAATAATTTGTCGCGTCTGTGTTATTATTGCCTTCTCATGCAGGTTGTAACCTAGAAATATTTGTGCCATTCTAAAATGCCACTTAAATATTTTATCTAGTTTCCATAATGCATAAAATAATTCCCAATTTATATATTGTGTCTATGATTTCTCTAATTATACTTCTAATTATATTTCTAATTACTCGTATCTTTAATTATATGCCTGAAACTCATTTTATAAATAGCTGCTCTCATTTAATTATTTTTTAAGTACCTTTTCGTTAAAATAAAATACTGGTTGTTTAATATAATTAGGAGAAATTATTTAACAAATTTGTAGTATTTCTCTTCGCACAGACCATAATAACTCTGAGGCGAGTTAATTATTGAGTAAATTACTGAGTTATGAGAAAAATATATTTGTTACTTTCTTCGTCAAAACATGGCATAAAAGAAATAATAGTATTGATGATTTTAATACTTAAAACTTACATAGGTTTTATAGTAAATATTATGACATCCCTTAGCTGCCACCTTTGAACATGTTTGGAAAGTGATCGATATTTCTGAGAGCTTAATTAAATAACGGAATTGAATATCATCAATAGTTATATTATCTCAAATGGAAACCGATAGAAAAACTAAACACTAGTTTGGAATCATAGATGACCATCTGAGAGTTCATTTTCATTGTACTTTAAGTTCATTTAAGTAAGGTGATATAGAATGAACTTGAAATATTTGAATGATGAAAACTTGCTTATACTTATGAAAAGGAAATCGCAAATTCAGAAAAATGTTATTAAGGCTTTATATTTAATCGTGCACATTTTTTACTGACTTCTTATATGTTTTACGTGCAAATAGAAAACCTTAATCAATGAAAGGAATTTAAATGAAAACTTTAAAATCTGTTTCAAAATATCGTATTTAATATTTTCATTCATTTGTTGCAATACATGTTCATTGAATGTAATCAAAATATTATTTTTCTTCTAGTTTCTGGATTGCATTGCACTGAAATATTTTTTTTTTAATTTAAAGTACTTATTGAAAATTTATTGATTTGTCAGAAGAATGAATAAGTGTGTTTTTCCAAAGCGCAGATACAGTAAGAGGCAATTTGATCATCATGATGGTGTGACTTCTCAGCTTAGCATACATTCAGCCAGGAGAGAAGACTCCTCTGTCTTCTCGTGTCGTGCATCTAACTTGTATGGACATGATGATTCTACTGTGGAATTAGTCATCCAAGGTAAGTTATTTTCTATGTTTGCTTTCGGAAATGAAGGCGTTATTTTCTTTTATAATTAATTCTTGTAAATTCCGCTTTGAAAACCTAGTTTGTTTGCAGAATTTACGCGTATGTATTGCATTTTTAAAGTTTTATTTGTGTAATTATTTATTGCTAATTTAGAGATTAATATGCTTTGAAATAACTTCCTTTCATATAAAGAGCAAGTGTGTGTACATTGCATTCTAATATACAAGCATTATCAGAGTTAATTTAATAGCAAACTTAAGGTTATGTGACGACAATTTTAAAAAGTTGTGGAATTTTTCGGGCTATTTAAAATGCCCTGTCCAAATTCAAAAATATATCCGGCATTCAACGGAAATCAATATTCGTATAATGTCCAGAAATACATATCGAGAGGTTCTAGAGCAACCTGATTTGTGCTAAGCCCCACCTAAACTTTTCTAAAATTATTATGCACCCCTAACATTCTTATGTTCCTTCAATTTAAAATAAAAAGAAATAATATGAATTGAAGTAAACGTAGATTGAAAATATATATTTAAATAAGTGTGGCATACATTTACCTCTTCCCACCAGCCGCAAAAACAAACGTATCTTTTCATTTGAAAAATTTTTCTGGGGAATGATGCTTCTAAAACTGAAATTAATAAAAATTACCAGCTGGATTTACATACAATTTACATTTTTGCAATATGTATATATTTTAAAACAACGAGGCTTTTACAGCAATTTAACGGACGATTATTTAAAATTAACACCAACAGTGAGTGCTGAGCATTATTGCGAAACACTACAGAAACTGAAATCCCGACAGAACCATTAAAAATAAATATCTCGAAATGCTTAGTGCCGGCCCAGTATAACCAGTAGTTCAACTCTAATAACAGCGAAATCACGGCTAATAACATGGAGGACAGAAGTTATTTATACTGACCGTTTACGTAGCTCAAATTGCGAATGAGAATCACCATACGGTTAACATAAACTCTGCACAATCCCATTTCGAACTGCCCCCTTTAATAATCGAATTGCCTTTGCCCACCGGGGTGTAGGCCACACCTTAGGAGGAAACACTCTAATAGAGTAAATTGTTTGACAACACAATTGACTGAGCAGCGCGATTTATCATTATTTAAGTCCCTTATGCCATAGTAGTTGAATTCATCTACGTTTATACAGAGATGGCTATCTCACCAAATTGCCAATAAATTACATTGATGATTATACAACATCATCAAAAAATAAATCCGAGTTTTCATAATATTTTACATTTTGAAAGGCTGATTATATGGATATAATTCTTGTGTTAGAACTGAATTAAAGAATAAAGTTTTACCTTTGCTTATTAAATGGCTACTGGGCTTGCAGCCTTAAATGAGACGTTTTCAAATTGGAGGAGTGTTAAACCCGTGGTATCCATTACATCCAGGCCTTACACATCTGGACTCCTTTAGTTACGTTAAGAACATAAATAATAATTACTTAGCGCACATACTTGAAGCACATTAAACACTGATCAACGATCTTGAACCATCTGTAATGTTGAAATTCCTAAGCGTTAAATCGCTAATTTAAAACACACATTTTTGCTTCTGAATATTACAGTAGTAATGCTATATTTAATTTCTTTAGACATTGAGCCGTTCAACAGGTATAGTGTTTAGCGTCGCTGACTGTCGTGCCGAAGGGCCCGAGGTCGAACTTCTGAGAAGGCGTGGATGTTTGCAAATGTATAGTGGCCGTGTGGAATGGAGGCACTCTAAATATGCGGAGAGCCAAAAGTTCTCTCGAGAGGTTGATTGTAGGGGAAGAGAGGTAGAAGGCCTTCGGTGTATCCATCAAAATTGGGGGCGGAACTAAGCTGCTCAAGGCATGTTGCCAACGACAGGCGTAATCTTGCGCTGCTTGCCATGAGGAATTTCGTGGGCTTGGGCTGACTATAGGTCAGGCAAGTGAGCATTAGTCAACAACAACACCAATATTAGAACTGTCTCAGTTGCAGATAAGCAGGCATATTTATTGAATTTTGAAACAAATCGAATTGGAGAATAAATTTTTCATTGAAGTCACTAGCATGGGAACAAGATTTATTTCTTAGAACGCTTTGTAATTCCATATATGAATTTTCCAACCGCACATATGTCATCCTCTCTGGCTTAGAACGCAGATCCATACTGAAAAGGAAACTTGGCAGTCGAGAAAGATTAAATATTGAACTTTATTTGAATTGGCCGCCCAGACGGTATAGTTATTAGGGGAGTCAGCCGACTGCGATACCGAAGTGCCCGGCTTCGAAACCCAGAGATATCATGGATGTAAATTGTCTGTGCCTAGGGAGGTAATAGAGATTGCCTTTAGGTGCCTCTATAATAAAATGACCACCCCTTCTGGTCTTAGTAGTGGAGAAAGCCTAAAAATGGCTAATGCTGCCACTAAAAAGAAACTTTGTTCCATTTAACATTTAGAGCCACAACTTACCTGGCACTAATCGTGGCTATTCAAAGACATTTGAGTTTTTGATATCCTTGCGATAAAAAGAGAGAAGAACGAAAGAGTGTGTAAACAGGAAGAGAGGCAGAAGCTAAAGTGCCCAGTTATCCAATAATGAGGTTCACCAAGAGAAGGTTTTGGTTGCTTGTTAAGAGAAAAGTTTCTGTTTTGGAAATTTTGAGTTCAGGTTTTGAATTACTTGCGGCATTGGTCGTAGTCGTAGATCCAATTACAAAAGTGTTTTAAATAATGAAAATATTTGGCAATGCCACATTAAACAAAAATAATTTTCGACAAACAGTGATGTCTAACTTTCAGTGTGCTCTCTCCATTTCTATACTTATATTTCGGAAAGTTTTATACTCATTAACTCATTATCAAAAAATAAAATTAGAAGACTTATGACACTCGTACGAAAAAATTTGACTGGGAAAATTTAATTCCAAAATTACATTTTTTATGGTTATTTTAATTTTAATAATCGCAATTGATTAATACTGCTTGAGTAATGCTATAGAACTTCACCGATAGTGACTATCGCTTTAGTCCAGTTTTTTATTTGGTGTGTATAAAGTACTTAAAGCATGTAAAAGGATAATATTTTTCAGAAACAAATGTCCTAGATAACCTACATTTGAGAGATTCAATAAAGTGAAATATATTAAGATAAGTTAATTTGCAACATGAATTTACTGATTCTCTCTGCTGTTGTACTGAAGAACGTACTGATGCACGTATATTTATGAAATATTTTGCTCTTATTTACTAAGAAATAACTACAGACAAATGCAGAATTGTCCGATCATATTTCTTCTTTTTGAGAAAATTTATTTATAGTAAAAACCACGATATTTGCTCATGATGTTTATTGAATTTTATATTCATATTTTGTTATTAATCGCAATATAAATGCAGTTAATTAAAATAAATTCGATTTTCAGTATTTTTCTTAAATTGTGTCATTATTGTTTTGCGTTAAAAATAATATTACGAACGATACTTGCCGAAATTCTTACAAAAACGCACATTTTATAAATATTTCCAAAATTCTGCTTTTATATGGTGATTCTTTGTCAAATCTGGAAAATCAAACAAAAAATGAATTTTGCTAATTTTTATGTTTGTTTTGAAATGGCTGTTTCAGAATTATAGTGCTTTCTCATTTAGAATACATTTAGAATTTTCTGTATTGGTAAATTGATCCTGTGGCAAGAATCGATGATATGAATAGGAGTGTACCTTCCCATTAAAACACGATCTTTTGTTTAACATCTCTTAATATGGAATAAATAACTTCTAAACTCATATTACTTAATATAAATTTGCAAACACATTTACAGAAATTTTTGCAATGGCATTGTTATAGAGAACCTAATTTCAACGAGAGAAGCATAATATCTGAAAGAAGGAATTTCGTCTGAGATTTGAAATTTCGGTCGTCCACAATATGCATTGTACCTTTTATTACCTATCTGACTGCTTCAAGCACTTCATTTTATATCTCTGAAGGTACTCACAGAATCAGACATAAAACGTGTCATCTAGAAGCAGAATGCGTCCAAAAATATCTTTTCGAGCACAAATACAGATATATAGCATGATTTAGAACAGGGCACAACCAAATATTTCAGCCGAACAGAGGCGTTGTTACGGAAAAATCAAAACCTCTCCATCTCTACAATCAACACAATCCAAGACCTATAAAAGTGAACAGAGGTGTTCCTTATATGCTTGAATGCACACGCTCTCGCTTCTATGTCCATAAAAATCTTCGAACGATACAAGAACACATTTAAAATGCAGTCTCCGAAGCGGAGGCGGATAGAATATTTTTTATTTTCTTTCTTCAAAGCTGAATGAGAAGTACTGGGAAACGTAAAAGGCGAAGCTCCGGTGACTAAATTTCAATACATTCGATGAAATCATTAATATTGAAGTAATCTATGGAGTAGTGTTAAGACAGAATACGTTTTAGATTGTTCCAAGGAAACGTGTTCGCTTCGAAACAACTCTCGTCGCATTTATTTACGAGCGATTAAACTAGAAATCGCTTCAAGAATGAGTTTTAAGGAACACAGGTGTTTAAAAATAACTGAAAAGTAAACGTGATTAACTTCAATAATTAAGAATAAACATTTCTTGCCCTAATTATTGCCACCAATCCAGATTCTTTATTAGAAAGTTTTACTAAGAAGAAAATCTTAGAACTTCCAAGTATGGAAACATATATGTGTAATTAACCACTTATGAAGATAGTGCTTTATAAATTGTAACCAAACCATATGCACGTTTTTCAGGTGACAGCATTATTTCCTTTCATAATATAAGTTCGTTTTTTTTTCTCTGAAGTGCAAGGCGTCACATTCATTTTTACTTCCTTCTAAGAAGTAAACGAAGAATTAAAATCGTGAAAAGTTTCCGGTGTTATATTTCAAAGAAAATAACCATTTTGATCGCTCTCGAAACCATTTGAAATAGGGTTTCCTGTGATATTTGTACATACG